CCTCTATTACACTGAAGTCAAGAACTGACTGAATCATCTAGAGAATGATTATGAGAGATCTCAATGATCTGTTCTCAAGATCTATCTAGAGAACAAGTTGAGAGACTCTGTGAGCTGAACAGAGAACACCTGAGCTGTGATCATCAATATTAGAAAAAGAGATGAGAAATCTGATAAAGACTACTCACAGTGCTTCATGAAATTGTGATGTGAATTGAGACCTGTGAAAACAGGGCTCTGAAACAAGACCTGAATGATGATATTTGCAAAGAGACTGAATAAAGGCATGCAGAACAAGCTCATTGAGTAAGACTCTAAGCTCTTGACTCTGAAGAAACTAATGACTCTTATTCATTGCTTACAGATCACTGTGAGAGTCACAGATCTGTGAAGAGTGAATCATTGACTGGCTCTGTGAGAGTCAGAACAACAGAGAACAGATTTGTCAGAAAAAGATAATAAGACACAGAGAGATTCACATCTGACTGCTGAGCAGAGAGAGAGAGCTTTATAAGCTTCTGTGAACAGAGTGTATAACAGAAAGATCAAGAAAAAGAGACTCTGCTTTATCTATTCTAAATCAGAACATCTTCATACAAACTGTTCAGATAAATCAAAATAGAAATTTGAGAAGTTGCAGACAGAGTCAGCAACAGCCTTCTTAAGAATCTTGAAGCTGACATCTGAATCTGTTACTCTCTCAATGAAAATGCTTACTTATGAAGAGAGACTGCATCATGATACTGCTGCTCTGCAAGTATGAGAAGTATTAATGAACTCAGAATCTCAGATCACTGTAATATCTCTAAAGCTTGCAGAGTGAATGAGCTGAAAGATGAAGACTGAGAATCTGCTCTTACAACAAGCAGAATGTGAGAACTCAGACCTGAGAACTGAGAGACTTATGAGAGTTATCTTTGAATTACAAGATCTCTCTGAAATCTGAAGAAGATTTGTGAAAACTGTGATTATTATGAATATCACAGATGACATGTATTTGAGACTTGCATAACTTCAAAGACACAATTCATACATAGCTGTCTATGAGTCAGGTTTATACTTCTGATCAGTGTTAACAGACTCACTTACAGAGATAGAAGCAGTTGATGCTGTAGAGTTGATTAAAGAAGATAAGCTCATCTATGTAATGACTTTGTGAGTGTCTGAGAATCTCGCGGTCATGAAAACTGAGCTTCAGATATCAGAGAAATACTGAGATCTCACAGAGATGTTCAGCCCAGCTAAGGCAGCTGAGCTTTCTTCTCATTATGAGAAGAATCTGATAATAGATTTAGTAGAAGAATAGAAACTCTTCTGAGAATCAATCTATAAGCTCTCTCATCATGAGACAGAGGTCTTGCAGACCTATGTGAAGAAGAATCTGAAGAATGACTTTATCTGATCTTCACAGACCTCCGCGGAAGCCTCTGTGATGTTTATGAAGAAGAAGAATGAAGATCTCAGATTATGTGTAGACTACTGTGATCTGAACTTCAAAATAACAAAGAGTCACTATTCTCTGTCTCTGATTGAGAATGTGATCAACTGTCTCACAGAAGCTGTCATATTCATACAACTGAATGTGATTAATGTATATACACAGCTGTGAATATGATCTGAGAATGAATAAAAGACTGTCTTTAGAACTGCACTGAAATTATTTGAATATCTAGTGATGTCTTTTGATCTGACTAATGTCTCTGCAGCATTTCAGTCTTTCATTAATAAAACACTTCATGCATATCTGAATGTCTTTGTGATAATATATCTGAATGATGTGATGATGTACTTCATGAAGAAGAAAGAACACACTGAGCATGTGCAAAGTGTGTTGAAGACCTTAGATAAGATAGAACTGTATATTAAGCTCATAAAGTGCAACTTCAGTGCTCACTGAATTAATTTCCTAGAATATGTAATCACTGCAGATGATATTCAGATGAAATCTTTGCAGATTGAGACTATTCTATCATAATCAGAGTCAACTAGTATTCATGAGATTCAGATCTTTCTGAGCTTTGTGAATTTCTATAGACAGTTTATCTTTGTATTTGTGAGAATCTTCTTAGCTCTTACAGACATGCTGAAGAGTGAAAATAAGAAGAAGTCATTCTATGAATAGAGAATGAAAAGATTGTTGAGAAGAGAGAACTGTGAGAACTTTCTTATCTCAGAAGCTCACAGAGTCTTTACAAGATTGAAACAGATATTCATGAATACAGTGATGCTGTTTCACTTTGATCTCTTACTCTTAATCAGATTGAAGACAGATGTCTTCTTCTTTACAATTTCAGAAATAGTCTTGCAACTACAGTCAAATAAGAACTGAGTTTCAGTAATCTTTTTCTCATGAAAGATGCAACCTGCAGAGATCAACTATGACATTCATGATCAGAAGCTTCTTATAATAGTGAAATTCTTTCATCACTGATATCACTACTTCAAGAGCCTTGTAACAGTGATTACTATTAGAACTGATCATAACAGCTTATAACAGTTTACTTCAATTAAGAAACTCTCACAGTGACAGGTTCACTAGGCTCAGAGACTGAGTGAGTTCTGATTCAAGATAGAACATATCAAGAGAACTAAGAACTCAGTGAATGAACTCTCTTACAGGCCAGACTATGTTAAGAAGACCAGGGTGACAGACACAGAGAGACTAGAGAAGACAGAAAAGCTTCACAGAATGCTCAGACTGAGTGTTGTGAAGAGATTGACTGAAGAGTCTCTCAATTCTCTGTAAGAGAAGAGAGAAGAGAGAGAGAAGAAGCCTGTGTAACTACTCTCTATAACACTGAGAGTTAACACTCTGAGAATCTCTACAAGAATTCTTGAAGAGAGTATCTATAATCTGAAGAATTTGCAGGCTTTGAGAAGTGCTGTAGAAGATCTGATGCAAGAAAAAACAGAGTATAAGTCTTTATAAGATCTTCTATTCAGATTGTCTGAACTACAACTGAAGAATGAATATACTCAGTATATTCAGAAACTGCTCATAGCAGAGATCAACTCTGCAGAAATAAAGAATTGAAGAGACTTAAATAACCTCTTATAAAGAGAGAGTTGAATTTATGTATCTGTGAATAAGTTTCTATATATAGAACTCATTAAAAGGCATTATGACTCTTCTCTAGCAGGTCATTTTACAGATACTAGAACTCATAAGTTGCTCATAAGAAAATACTTCTGACTGAAGATGTGAGAACTTGTGAAGAAGATAGTGAATTCTTATACTATTTGTCAGAATTCATGAGTAGTGCAGTTCAGATTATATGAAGAATTTACTTCTCTACTTATTCTGCAGAAATCTTGAAAACAGCTAGAAATGAATATTCTTATAAGCCTCTCTGAAAGCAAGAACATATATGATGCCTGCTTTGACAGTGTGCTGATGATAGTAAATTACTTTATCAAGATGACACACTTTATACTCACCTGCAAGAACTTGAAGTCAAAGAATTTAGCTCACATCTTTATTCACAATGTAGTTCAGTTGTATGAATTGTCTGTGAACATTGTCTCAGACAGAGAATCAATCTTTGTAGAAGAGTTCTGATCTGATCTGATAACTATACTGAAGATCTTATGAGATCTAAGCATGACTTTTCATCAACAGACAGATGATCAGACAGAATGCCTGATGAGTATATTGAAATAGTATCTGCAGTGCTTTGTCAATTACAATCAGAATGACTGAGTGCATTGATTATCACTCACAGAGTTTATATACAATAACTTAAAGCATGTCAGCACAGATAAAACTCTCTTTAAGATACTCACTGAGACTCATCTGCAGATGATCTTGATGAACTCATGAGAGTACACTATAGAGTGTGATAATACCTGTGAATGAGCTGAGAGAATTCAGAAGATTCAGAAGAAAATCTGTGAATTCTTGAGAAAGACTCAAGAGTATCAGAAGAGATACTATGACTTCAAGCATATTATAAAGAGTTTTAAGAAAGATGATAGAGTCTGACTGAGTCTAGAAAATATCATTATATAGAGATCTAGTAAGAAGCTGAATCTCTTACAGACAGAGTCTTGTAAGATTGTGAAGAAAGTTAGCTTACAGTTCTACAGATTGAAACTGTCATCTGAGTTATAAATGTACAATATTTTTCATGTCTCTTTGCTTCATAAATATAAGGAATTCTCAGAAGAGAACTCTGTGACTCATCACTCTGTTTATAAAGCACTAGAGAGTGAAAGAGAATATCAGGTTAAAGAAATTGTTAACTCAGAGAAGTGAGATTATGAGCTCTGATTCAAGGTTCAGTGATAAGAGTATTCTGACAAGATGAATGAGTTTACTTAAGAATTATTCAGGCAGATAAGACATCTGCAGAAGCTGAGACATGACTTTCATACTGTGAATTCTGATAAGTCAGAATAATGCAGTCTTTGCTAAGAATCTGGTTATGATAAAGATATTAACACTGTCATTTGCAAATTCTAGTTTACAAGATAATGAATTTCTACTGAGATGAACAGTCTGCAGTGTACATAAGAGAAGAAGAAAACATGTTCTTATTAAAGCTAAAAAACAAGAAAACAAACAGAGCTGTGAATACAATTTAGAGATTAATAAAGAAAAAATAAAGAAAATTTATACTCATATTATTAATACTTATGATACTTAATCTTCTCACAACTATCAATTTTTTTCTTCAAAGAAGCAGAGAGTATCATATCTGTGATACAGATAATTATTGCATTTGATATGAAGATCATCAGAAATGCACAGACTTCAGAGAAGCTGAACATCAGAGTATGCACAGTTATAGCAGAGTCTTGAAGACTGGTCATCTGTATGTGTGATCAGATACTTCTCACAAAGCTGTATTCACTCTCTCAGTTATGCTGAAGTATTCAGCTTAGAAATAATGAGAATGCAGAGAGAGAGCTCATCTGCTCAGATTAACTTCTATCACAAATTCATGACATTTGCATTGCCTTGATTACTCAGATTTTGCAGGTACCTGAAGACTCATCTCTCATTGACAATGAGATTGCAGAAATGCGCCGCGGCGCAAGGACCATTGATATTCACACTGCATATCCAACCGCTCCACCACGAACTCGCTCGATTTTTCGAATAAGAACCCGCCGATAGATCCATCGAAAAGCCCTCGATCATACGAGCACTTTGACCCCATCGCCGACCGCATACCCCGTGTGGTGGTGGAGTTATCCAGCCAAACGTGAACCGGACGTTGTTCGAAGCTCCTGTGTGGGATTATCCCCCGTTCTCCCCTACCACACCACAACCCCGGGCCAGAGTGCCATACAAATTGTAAGGTGAAGTGACCTAGCCATATGCACCAATCTTCTCGATTTTGGAAGACCCCCGACCTGTAGTTGTGGAGATATCCGAGGAGCGACCTCCGCGAAAACCCTGTCCATCTTTGATGTTCCAAAACACCAACACCAAGTCTCACCCTCGTACCGCCCTTCCCAATCTGGCCCATCCCCGGCAGAAAAATACAAAAAGATACCTCGGCGATAATATCAAGCACATAATCAACGGACTCTTCTGAAGTGCAACCTCCACGGTCCGCCGCCAGTGTATCTAGACTTCAACACCAAGTCTCACCCCTGTACTACCCCTCTCAATCTGGCCCATCCCCAGCAGAACGATACAAAAAGATACCTCGGCAACAGTATTCAATACATAACCAGTGGACAACGAGTCAACAGCACATCAACAACTATAAAATCAGTATACCCCAAGGTCTGACTGAGCCTTTGATCCCTGCACAGTGAGATATATTAAATCTAGTTTTAATACCTCAATATTCAATAGATTCTGCAAGGGATTGAGAACAGCAACACTAGGTTTCTATTGAATTTGAGAATTAACTCTATATTGATATAATCATTGACAAAGTCTTCTATTTTGAGATATAAATAACCAGTTCCTCTACATCCCGCTGGCAATATTTATATTATCATATAGAAACAGACTTATATTCTCTATAATATCAAGACCCTGAAGAGGGAAAGTCTTGGTAGGGGGTATACAGTAGTGCATATCTTAGCAGTTTCTATCTCATTCTTCTGCAGCAGTTAATGCAAAAAAAAAAAGATCTTAGAAATAGTTTTTTACTTCTCTTGAAAAAGTAAGGTGTTTTTCTCTGGGTTTTACACAATATTCTTACAAAGAATTAAAAACAGAGTTGTTTTCTGTCATAATTTCATATTCTTTTAAGTAAGAATTACTATTTCAGTGGCTGAAGAGCTTTCATTAATACTTAATTCTTTTTTACACTCTTTATTAACTGATTTGAGTTGCACACTTGTTGTGTGAGGAGAATTGGATGATTTAGAATAAAATTGAATAGTTTTAATCAATTTCTCTGCAAAAAATTGATTTATTTTTTGTCAGTTTTTCTCTCAAAAACTGTCATATCATCTGATTTATTATCAATTGATATCATACTTTTCCTCACTGTATCCCAAGAAAGAGATTGTAAAGATTTTATTGATTTATCTTAAAAATCAATTTTAGTTTATTAGATTCTCTTCAAAAATCTAACCTAGTTACTGAACTAGTGTGAAAAAAATCAGGTGTTTTATACACAAAAGTCTTTTATTCTTCTTTTGAAACAGTCTGACCAACTTTTCAATTGAAAACAGACTTAGAAATATCTCAATTGAAACAGTCTGACCAACTTTTCATTGAGTGAAAACAATGAGTTCAAAAATACACTCAGTTGATGTGGAAAAAGATGCTTTCTCAAATGCTATTCCTGAGATTGAAATTCTGAAGAGAAGAAAGAAAGAAGAAATAGAGAAACAACAAGTTCTTGAAATACAGGAACTTGAAAAAGCAAGCAAGATTCTTGGAAAGCAGTGTCTGAGTGAGATGAATGAAGAAGTTCTGTTAATTCTTCATGCTCAGGCCAGACAACTACAGGAGGTGATCAAGTTCAAACTTGGAATCTCAAACACAGTTCAAAAAACCTTGAAAATTCCTAGTACAATCACTGACTCTTCATCTTACTCTTTTTCTTCCTTTCTTCCTACTCCTTCTTCTTCTTTGAATCAGAAGAAAACATATGCTCAAGCAGCTGAATCTGCTGTCTCTAAACCTGCTGTCTCAAAACCTGCTCAAAATCCTGAGAAAACTGAGAAGAATACTGCTCATGCCTCTATTCATGGAAAAGTGGAAAAGAAAATGCAAAAAGAGAAAAACTTCCAAATCTCTAGAAATAGAAGACTCATTCTCAAAGTCTCAAACCAGGACATTCTGCAAAGAAACAAGCTAAACTCAAATCTCATTTTCAGAATCAGAAATGAAATTAATCAGCAGTTCTTTTCTCAGTTGATGACTGATATTGAAGTTCAAAAACCAGTTATAGCTTCAATTGAGCCATCATTCTTTGGAAACTCTATTATTCTGACTACAATGCCTGAATTCAGTGCTGAATTCCTTATTCAGAATGAGAATCTCTGGAAGTCAGCAGTAGAATCATTGCTAAACACAACAATTCTATCTGAAAGAGATGAAAAGTGGGGCAAATTCATTCTTCATGATATTCCAGTTGAAATTTTTGACTGTGAAGAAGGAATGCTACTTCTCAAAAATGAATTGGAAGAATACAACTCCATTCAACTGAGAAAGGAGCCTGTATGGCTAAATTCAATTGAGTTCAGACAAAGCAGGAGAAATGCCTCTGTTCTAGTATATACAAAAACCCTTGAACAGTCAAAGATCTCTGAAGTAAGAGTAGCAGGTTTGAAAATGAGAGTTCATGAATACAAAGACTCAAGAGTGAATCTCAAAGCTCAAACACAGTGTTCAAACTGTCAAAGATATGGACACTTTGCAATCTCATGTTTTAGAGACTCAAAATGTGCATTCTGTGCCAGAGATCACAAAACTAGTGAGCATAAATGTGAAACATGCTCAAAAAGAGGTGAAATTTGTCAACATACTCTGCTTAAGTGCTCTAATTGTAAAGAAAAACATGCATCTAGCTCTAAAGAATGTATGTTTGCTCCTAGAACTCAAAAGAACTGGAGAAAAGATGAAGCTCAAAGTCAATCTAGAACTGAAGAGAAGAGTCAAGCCAGTAAACTCACAACTGCAAGCTCAAAAAGAAGAAACTCTCAATTATCTAAGTCTTCAAACTCCAATTCTCCAGCAAAATGTAAACAGAATTTGAATCCTCAAACTCCTGTTAAGATTAGAGAATTGAGAAATGACTCTGGTGATAAACTAGATATAATGCAAGCAGTTGAGATTCCTACTTTTCAGAACAGTTATAATCTACTATCTGATGATAGTGATTAGATTCTTCTCTACTCTCTTTTAGTATGAATATACAACAAAAACAACAAAAAAAGTTTAAAAACTCTTCAAAAATCACATTTATTCAAAATAATGTGGATAGAAACTCAAATTGCATTTATTCTTGTCTTCAAATTGCATTTGAACAAAAAGTTGATTTTGTACTGCTTCAGGAGCCGAATTTTGATGCTGAGCAAAAATATGTCATTTCTCATTCAAGCTACTACTGCTTTTTACCTCAAAAGTCTGAGATAAAGTCAAGAGTAGTGATCTATGGAAGAAAGAGATCAAGATATCAATTTAATCTAAGATTTGATATCATGTCTGACCCTGATATTCTGGTGGGTGATATTATAGATAAAGAAAATGAGTTTGATACTATACAGCTCATAAATATCTATAATGAAAAGTCATTGAAGGAAAATAACAATATCTGGACAATTGATAGAGGATTTCTGAACATAACTCCATCAAGAAACTCTATAATTGCAGGAGATTTCAATGCACATCATCCCTGGTGGAATTCAGAATGCAAGAGAGCAGTGAGAGCTGATAATCTGGTTGAATGGACCTTTGAGCATTCAATAGATTTGGTTAATAAGTCTGATCAACAAACATTCTTTAGAAAAGGCATGAAACAGAAGTCTATTATAGATCTAACATTCATGTCACAAAATCTAATGGAAAGAAGACTTGTAAACTGGTTTATTGATTCAAATGAGACATCAGGATCAGGTCATGAGATTATTCAATTTGATATTGAACTGAGTGAAAAACAAATGAGTGAAAATCCTCTTCTCTCTAATCAGTATAACTTTGAAAAAGCTGATTGGAAAGCAGTTGAAGAAAGCATAAAACTGTTAAAATCTGAAAGACAGAATGAGCTATATTGGAATTCTGGTCAAGATATCTCAAATGAAATGCTTGAGAATAGAGTGAAGCTTATTACATCTATCATTCTAACAAGTGTTAGAGATAATATTCCAAAAAGAAAATCTTCTGAGTATTCAAAACCTTGGTGGAATGAGAATATCTCATCTAAAAGAAAAGAATTAGCTACTGCTAGAAGAGATTGGAAGAATGATATAATATCTGATGAAGAGTTCAAAACTGTCAGAAATGAATATTTTTCAGATATTAAAAGAGCTAAAACAGACTGCTGGAATAAATTTCTTGAAGAAGCACAAGGGAAGGAAGTTTTTAAAGCTTTTAACTATACTAAAACAAGAAGTGTAGCAAAACTTCCAGCTCTAGAATATGAGTTTCAGAATGAATCATATACAGCAAACTCTTTTGAGGAAAAATGTCAAGCTTTCATGAGAATTCTCTTTCAGAACTCACCAGATTCAGATTCAGATTCAGAGGAAGAGAATATATCACTTCTCAACTACATTGATGAAAATGACTGGGAATGGCCTGATCTTACACAAGATGAATTAGAGTCAGCTATCTTCTCAAGTTCTGTTAAAACTGCTGCAGGTCCAGATTCAATTAATCACTTGATTATTCAAAATACATATTCCTACTTAAAGAATGAATATTTTGAGCTCTTTTTCAATCTCTTGAAAAATGGATATCATCCTGAATGCTGGAGAGAAGCCACTGGAGTGATTCTTGCAAAACCTAATAGAAAAACTTCAATTCCTAAGTCATATAGAGTAATATCTCTATTGAACTGTTTAGGAAAGGTTTTAGAAAAGATAATAGCTACTCGACTATCTTTTATAAGCTCTATAGATGATTCTCTTTTATTCAGTGAACAAATGGGAGGTAGAAAACAGTGTTCTGCAATTGACACTGTTCTCTCAGTTGTTCATGATATTCAAATAGCAAAGCATGAGGGTCTGGTCTCAACTGCAGTTTTTATTGATATAAAAGGAGCGTTTGATCATGTTTCAAAGTCAAAGTTAATTCAGACATTGAAGATATTAAAACTGCCTCTTTCCCTAATAAAATGGGTTAACTGTTTTATGTCTAAAAGAATTATACAACTCTTCTTTGATGGAATGAAACAAGACAAGACTGAGATAAAAATAGGAGTACCACAGGGGTCTCCAATCTCACCCATTTTATTTGCAATATACACTGCATATCTATTCAAAAATAGAAATATGAGAATAGTGCGATCTCCGAGTTATGTGGATGATATTGGTCTAGTCTACAGCTCAAAAACTA